AGAAAAAAAATGAAATTAATTTTTATACATTAAAAATTAACGTAGGCGTATTTTTCATGCGTTTTAATAAGCAGATGTTGATGCGTACATACAGAACAATGCATGACAATACAGAACAACACACAACGAAATACAACAATATTCACTCACAACTTTGAACTTGAACAAATTGAATATTGGCCTATCCATTGGTAAGTTACAGGTAGCTCAACTTTCCTTATAATTACTACAGCTTTCAGGCTATCTTTGAATTTTGAATTTCGTCTCCTCGATGTTATCTTGGAATTCCGTCTTTCCAAGATAACATATCTTGGAAAGACGTCTTTCCAAGATAATTTATCTTGGACTTCCGTCTTTCCAAGATACGCTATCTTGGAATTCCGTATTTCCAAGATAAATTATACTGGAAAGACGGAATTCCAAGATAAATTATCTTGGAAAGACGTCTTTCCAAGATACATTATCTTGGAATTCCGTCTTTCCACGATAAATTATCTTGGAATTCCGTCTTTCCAAGATAAATTATCTCGGAAATCCGTCTTTCCGAGATAAATTATCTCGGAAAGACGTCTTAATAAGTATTTATTCCATGTTTCCATGATAATTATCTTGGAAACTCGGAAACGCGGAAGGTCACTTTAAGCTTCCGTACATAAACGATAATCATAGTAACAGTATTTATACATATTAACAGCATTTGTACAGTAATGGTAACAGCATTTGTATGTTAATAGTATTTTGATAGCATATACCGATAATCATATTTTGATATCAAATATCGAACATGTCATGTATATACTATATATACGTAAACACATATACAATAAATATATACATAATTAATTATACACACATATATTCATATTTAATTATCACTGACTATGATTGTTCATTGAACACTTATTTCTTTCTATTATTTTCCTTACTTTTGCTGGATTTTCTTCTTCTTTTGGTACCAGGCAACGTGGGCAAGATGTTATCTGCCTGTGTTTTTTCTTCATCCTGTGGTTCATTCGTGCTGTTTTCTTTTTCGCTTCCTTTTCTCTGTTTAGTAGCTGATTTCCCATGAAGTCAGTTATCTTGCTTTGCTTCGTTTGATTTTCTTCTCTTGATGTTTCAGCATTCTCATTATCTTCCTCATCACTGTCCGCGCTATCTTCATCTGAGTTGGAAATTCCATCTTTAGACTCATCATCTTGCATGTTGGTATATTTTTTCTCTGTGATAACACGTACCCACATTTCTTGGATGAGTTGCTCTCCAGAGTCGTTATGCAGTAACTTTTCTGCGCTGCACTCATCCTTTCTATGTCCCTCTAAACCACATGCATGGCACACCAGCTTATTGGGACATGCAGATGCATTATGCCGGTTTTTCAAACACTTGGAACACTTGACTCTCTCATCTGCTTGGCCATTATGAAATACCCTGGCTTTGAAGTCGTTTATATTCAAGAACCTTGGTAATTGAGTTTTAAGTTTTTCAACGTAGAATAGCCGGTCTCCATTTAGACAGCTTGTGAGTTGCCCATCGACTCTTAATTTCATACGCTGTATAGCACCCTTAATTTTGCAGTTAAATCTCATCATCAGAGATGTTCGTATTTCGTCATCCGCCACAGAAAGCGGTAAGTCTTTAATGATGACCCGGGTAGAGTCGGTATCACCGGGTAAATACGGATTCTTATCATAGATCTTAATGTTCCTACCTCCGATATTCACTCCTCCCGTAATAAGCATCACTCTATCCTGTTGACGGTTATATGTACAACCTCCATAAATTCATTATTCTCTGTATTCCCGTAATGTTACCACTTTCCATAGATTTCAAAAGAACTTTATAAATATCTTGAGGTTCAACAAATATATCACCGATAGCATTCACCTCGTCTACTTTCATGAATACCGGTTTCACTTTTATCGAACTACCGGGTTGCCGCGTCCTGGGTCACCTGATCCAAAGGCGCGTCTTTTGAATAGGTAGAATACGTCGTCATTTCCCCCCCCCCCACAGATCAGAAAAAGGTAAATCACAATAATTTCAATTATCTTCTTTACCTGGTTTTTCACTTGTCTCGTATAATCCTTTAGATAGTATCTTCCGAAAAAAATATTTAAATTAATCCTGTATTTTAAACGATTTTTGCTGAGCTGATATACATGAACGCCTCCATAGAGCAATGTATACCGCCCCCAGCAGGAACTTAAGTAATTACTACTGTTGAAGAATTTGCTAGGAACTTAGGAGTAAAAACAAACGTTATACTATTAGATTTCGCAAAAGTAATAAAGTTGCTCACCAAAGACTGCTGCACAAATTAAATATATATGGAATCAGAAACAAAACCAATAGCTGGATAAATACCTGATCAACTAACAGTCATCAAAAAGTAATAGTCGACAGGAATGAATCAGGAGAGATACCGTACATGTGCATTTTGAAACTTGCTTCTTTCTTTCAGTCTGTTAATTCAACAAAATGCTGTCTCTATTCTATCTTACATTCGGAAAAACAAAGAACAACGCCTAGTCAACACTCAAATGAGCAATTGGTAATGCACCGTTATAACTGAAGAAAAAAACTTGTCCAGATGACGAGCACCAGCATAGAATAGAATAATAAAATAGGAACATAATAATATTAAGTTTCTGGGCAGTAAGTCCACAAGTTTTAGTGGCTTTTCGTTTATTGTTTTTTTTTTCTTGAAAATCAAAAAGTTTTAATTTCCATAAATACACAAAAGGTTACTGAAAATACAAAATAAATAATCAGAATATCTTTTTGATTTTAAAGTAAAGAAACAAATTATAATTGTTATCACCACCTCACTACGATCTAAACTACTAATCATTGTGCATATGTTTGTGATAGCAATACAGATAATAGAGGTTTACAATTGATAATAGGAGACTTTGAGATGCATGGAAAACAGTATACAATATATTCGGTTAGTGGCTTTTCTAAAAAAAACTAAGTATATACAAGTAATTAGATGAAAAAAATATTAAATCAATGCCAATATTAAAAAACAGCAACTATGTTGGCTGAAATCTAAACTACGATCAAATACACCCCACTTATTTTTCCAAGTATCAAGCTTATTTTTAGATAAACCTATGTACATTTCAAACGATTTTTCTAAATTAAATAGCTTTTTAAAATTAATGAGGATTGAAATGTTTATTGCATGCCAACATCAATAATGTCAAGACAAATATCTTGTAAAAAATAAAACATCAATTTTCTTTTTGATCTTTAAAACTTTGTTTTAGAACATTCTTCTAGTAGGTGAAGGTCGTTCTGTAAGATTTATGATCAGCAGCAAACATTTGTAAACATAATTTAATCTTGTCTTGAATGCCGCTTATGTAAATGAAAAATAACGCAGGTCCCAGTACCGAACAATAGCAAACCCAAATTTAACATCATTACCTTACGTATCCAAGCAGGATCATGTAAGAATGACTGCGATTTTGAAGGTTAACTGCCAAGTTGTAAGATGACCATTGGAGTTGTGTAAGTGTGTTTTCTTGAAAGCTAGGGTTTAAGAAACAAGCTCGTGTTAGTCTTCACTATACAGGAGTTAAATCGATCATTTTATGTGGTGACCAGGCTGGAATACCAAATTCACTTACAGGACATTCATATTTGGAATAAAGGAAATTTGATTAATCTGGAAACTAAAATTTTCATTGATCTGCAGCCCCTTTTATCAAATTTCGACGTACCGTACTTCTATATGACTTTACTATGTCCTTTGTATGTACTTGGCATAGACAATTGAATAAGCGTATTTGTCAATGTGTTTTGCAAATATCGTTATTCTCATAACTTTAAATTTATTAGCACTTAATTGCTTTTTAATTTACTACATTCCAATTTCAAGCAAGTTTATACCTCTTTTGAGAATTTGTTATGATACTGCGATCTCAGTTCTGTAATGACAGTGTTATCTGCATATTGATAAAGATGAGATGATAGAGTATTGGTCAATTACAGAACAAAATCGTTAAACATTGTAGGGCCAGAACAGAACCCCGGAGAACATATGATAAGCTCAGATGGGTCAAATGATGCACCCCTAAAGATGACTTTCTTTGATCGTGCCTTAATATGTTAAGAGCCGACACCGGACCACAGATATCATAATCATGAGGTTTTTCGACCATCGATACATAGATACGTGTTCATCTACATTTTTTTCCAATGATTAACACTGTTTAAGATAGTGCTACATGATCTACCGGCAACAAAATCATGCTAAATTGAAGATATACAATCAAATGAGTAAATTATTTTTCATTTACAGTAATGGTAATGTTTTATATTTTCAAGGGAATGATGGTGATGATAATAGTCCTCTTATAAATGTATATATCAAAAGCTGACGCATTTTTGAAACATAATTTATTTAACACGAATATTTTGTCCACTCCTATCACTTACGCTGATGAAGTCCACAGGAGTGGACGAACTATTAAATAAATAATAAAAAATTATTTATTATTATTATCATTATAATAATCAACTTGATTTCTGTTTTTATTGTCATCGCTTTCACCACTATATATATATAGAGACAGTATATATAATGTATATGATGTGTGTGTTCATAAGCCTAAACAAAAATATAATGAGCACATTGTTTGCATATAATGGGTTTTATAAGTCTATCGTGACAATAAGTTTATATTTTTTTTTTGTTCAGCATATTTACACACAGTATACAAATACTCAAAGACAAGCAATACAAAGCGATTTTCTTTTTGATCTTTAATACTAATATTAACGTTATATTTCTAGAAAATGATAGTGTTCCACAATAATCGATTTTCAATGTTCTTTACCCTTCGTGTCCTATGCAGTTGTATTAAAATTTAATGTATAACAAAATTAATACATAACTACGAAAATTGATATGTACACAGGAATAAAATAGTGGATAATTTAAGTGTAACTCTAACTGCCTTTGTGCTACCTTACACTGGTCTTATATACTCAGTCGAGGGTTCTGGTTGCTTAGCATTCTCAATTAATGTGACATAATTTGATCAACATATTAAATTGAAGATAATCCGCTTCGCTAGCAATTCTCGATTATGATGAAAACCGGTTTCGGTTGTTGCATTCGCATGAGGCCCGAGGGACACTCTTCTCCGCGTAGACTCAAAATGTATATTCCACACCTGTTGGTAAAGTGTACTCAAATCTGAATCCATAGAGACACTCAAACTCACAATACCTATTAGAAATTCACGCATGATCACCTTTAAAATCAGTAGCATGGTATCTCTTGATATGAAGTAGAAAACAACACCAAGTAATATCATATCATTAGAAATATGTAAATGAGATTAATATACAAAAATGGAAAGACTTTGTTATGTTCATAATCCTTAAAATAATTGAAATATCTTTTTATATTTTAACAAACCACCGTATTTAGAAACTTTTCAATTATCTAGGTAATTATAAGTGGTTAAATTAAACTTCATTGACATGATGAGAAGTGTATATACATCTATTAAATTTATTTCTTGAATGAAAATTTATGGCATTTTATTCTGTGGAGTGATGCATATACTTATTGTGTAGACTATTGCATAGTATGGGGCTTACTGACAACGACGAACTCAACCCCGAACTATTGGGTGAATTATTACTGATATGAAAGCATGTACAGTAATGAGAAATTCACAACTTTTAGAATACCACTTTAGTAGGAAATATATAATTGATTGTCTAGTACAGTTATTAAGATCTACTTGTTAATAATATCATAATAATTAACTTATTTAGTTAAGGGAAGTAACCATTGGAAGGAAGTCGATCACTGAAATAATTACAATAATTAAATCTACCGATTTGAGATGCATTGAGATACATTTCATTTTAAAACTGGAAGTACTTGTTTTGATTGTGAAGCATTTATAATCATTACGCCATTAAAGTATATGGTGCTCAGTCATATGGAACTAAGTTTCATATAACATTAACATTATAAACATTAGTTTGTTCTAAAAACACGTTTTGTTGAAGAAATTTCTCAAAAATCGTTACTAAAATGTCATTATTTTAGCCTCAGAATTTTAATCTTTGGTATCTATTTCCAACCGAGTTAGGAAGATGCTGAGGCCTAATACGTTTCATAAATAAGTTAACTCAGATTTACAGCTAAATCCGTCAAAATTGCACAAACTGCAGGCCTGTTATGCTAATACATAGCATATGAAAACAACTGTAAAATCCTAAACAAAGACAATGGTAACAATAATAACTAATAGTCATTAGTATTGATAATGCTTACATTCAAAAATGTATACAATAATAATTTAACAACATGAACATGATGACAATAAATAATTATACTTGTTAACAAATAACCTAACTCCGATATGAGCTTCTTAGTTTACATATTGCTTCGTTTTCAATTATTCTTCTGTGAAAAATACCACTTTTTTAAGTATAAAAGTGAAACATTAAGGAGAGAAAATATATGGGCATATACAGCCTATGTAATTTGGTCCCATAGCAAAGAAAACATTTAGTTTACTGTTACAACAAGCCCTCGTAATATTCTAGGAATGTCTCAAACTGATATAGAGCATGGGAAGATTCCAATTCGCCGTTTATAAATCAATAAACTATACTTTAACTTAAAAACGACGTATTCTCTGATACGACCATGGGAATGGAAACAATTGGTTAAAAATCTATTGCCAAAATATTTTAGTACATTTTGAAAGATTCCAATCTTATTTTTTGCACACATCGGTATTTGAAAATACGAATAATTATTTTATGTTTGTTTCAAACACCATAAGTTTATATAAAAAAAAGCCTGGACAGACTATCGTCAAACGTTTCCATTAGAAAAATATGAAAATTTCTTTAAAAACACACCAGAATATGTGTAAGTTTTTTTTTTTTAATGTTTGAATACAATCATGTACTAAACACATCGAGATGTGTCTGATTGTTGCATTTTTGGAATGAGATAATTGCACTCGTTATCGCTGGAATCGGGACTGATTAAACACGCTGATTCGTAATGTTTGTTCAGATATGATTTCAATGCAAATGACTTATCACATCGCTTGCAACTGTAGTGCTTAAATGACGAATGCGTTTGCATGTGCGCACGCAGGTTGGAACGATCTGCGAACGCTTTCCCGCAGTGTGCACACCCGAACGGTTTCTCTCCAGTGTGGGAACGCATATGACCCTGCAACAGCCACGGACGACTGAACGCTTTGTTACAAATAGTACATTTATGCTTGAGGTCATGTGTTAATATATGCATGGTAAGAGCTGGCATGCTGACGTATACTTTATTACAGATATGGCAGCGTTTGGCTTGGTCACTTTCTAAACTACGATGCGTTTGCTTGTGACGCGATAGGTTTGATGACGTCGCGTAGTGTTTACCGCACTCGTTGCACTTGTAGCGTTGACGCTTTTCTGGTGGTTCGACGGCAGTTTTTGGTGAACGGCGACGTGATCGTCCATCGGTTATATTGAACGCGTCGTAGGAGAGGAAGACTTGTTTGTTGACGCTGTTATTGATGTCAGATGCGTCACTTTGTGACGTGATCGACGATGAATCATCCCGACTAATGTCCGAATCAGAAATAGAATCACTGTCACTCAATGAATTGCGACTTATTGGTGAAATTGTTGGTGAGGGGAATATATCTTGCATGTAACCTATAATGAAACAAAAACGTCAGTGTCAAATTGGCAATAAAATGTCAGATAAAATGATAGGCCACAATTTATTATGACTATGAATACACGATACATTTAATAAGCAATTCAATTAAATATAATAATGATAGGCTACTTTATAATGAATATATTTCAGGTTTGTGTATTATGTATTCAAGTATTCTTTATTGATGAAAATCGCAGTTAAAACTGAATTGCATTGATGCTTTACATTATAAAAAATACAATGAAATATAAAATACAATAAACAAAAAACAATAGGAAAAACAAATCGACGTACACCCAACATATTGATGTATGCCTGTGCCTAATAACAGGACCGTATGCAAAGTAGGTTTTAACTTAGCCTACCTGATATATATGTTCCTTTTAATATATGCTGGAAATAATTGAATGCCTTTGAATTTACTTTAATATGATATTTATGGTTATGAAATTCATGTTCTTAATCAAAACCAACAAGTAGGTTTTTTTTCAACGAAGTTTGCGTTAGCTGCACATAATGACATATGAATGAACTTGTGCTCACTGTCTTGACAGGAGACTAATTTAACGAGAAAAACTGTATTTTGCATCGTTAATCAAGTAATTCAGAAAAGAGTTAGGTGACAAGTTACAGTCTCGCATTGCATAAGCATATTTAGATAGCTTTTACTTCGCATTTGAATGCTTCAGACAAATGGCAATTATTCACGATCGTTGGATTAACACACACTATCACTGATATTACATCAATGGTGTACTGACGTGTAGCAAATCTGAGTTTGCATTGTCTCTTATGACACAAGAATAAAGTATTAATTTTAGATATTAATTGGTACGTCTTACAGGATAATTATCCACCATCAATGTAACTAGCATAGTGTTTGGTCACATCTAGTGATATTTACTCAGCTTAGGCATATGATTGAAAGTAAGTATTGATGCGGTTCAAGAAGGTAGAGCACATTGCGCATGATCACGACAATGTGTTAACCTCTCAAACATATTGCGCATGACGTGACCAATGAACTGGCTCAACAAATGACCCATCAAGTACTAGATAATTTCGCTAAATGAGTCATAAAACGCTATTGACATGTTGCACAGTTTTCACCTGCAGCATCACTGTATCTTTTTTGTTGATGATATTAGTCACGTGGTATACATCTTAAACATGGCGTACAGCTTGCCTTCTTTTACTGGCGTACCTAATGCGTCATAGTTATAAGGGATTACAGAAGAGAAAATTATATGATTAAGGCCCACTCACAATCCTTTTTATATTCCATAAATCAAGACGAATTCAACTATTGTAGGTCCATTGTTATTGCAATATAATCTCTAAGTACCAATTGAAATTTGATTACTTACATTTAAAAAAAAAAATTATTTTTATTCACTTCTACACCAATTTTATTGTTTAAAACAATTCGCTTAAACTTGATATGATATTTTAAATAGGTGCATGTTTATATGGTTTTTAAAAAGGTGCAGGTTTTGGCTATTTGTCTGATTCTTTTAGGCCTCGACATTACTGCATTAATATTGATTTGCGAAAGGACAAACATTAATGTATATATCTAGATGACAATCAATGACGTATGTAATATATGAAGACATTGTTACTTCTTTTACTCAAAGCATAGGCTACTTATTACCAAATTGGTAGGCCTATTTAAGAAGAATTACAGTTTTAATCATTGTCAAGTTGATAACAATGTTTAAATGGTCCATTTTCTGGCAACATATTGCCTTCTCTTCACATGTTTTGTTGCCTATGTACAGGAATTATATATTATATAGGCCTATATATATTATATAATATACAAAATAATGTATAGGTCTATATATAACATACAAATAAATATGTAAATAATAGGGCTGGTGGCCTGAAGATTTGAATGAAGGGTGTTAAAAATGAACAGTAATATAATTTGTGATAAAGTGGTCAAATCTCTATGATTGATTTTGAATACATTGTGACAAATTTCTGACGGAGTATCATATATATATATATATATACTGTCTCTTATACACATCTAGATGTGTATAAGAGACAGCTCCAAGGATATTATTATCTTCCAAAAATTGAGAAATATTGTGTGCAAGAATACGATTAAAAATTTTGGAAACACATGAATTAAGTGTGATACCACGGTAGTTATTGAGATCACGTCTATCCCCCTTTTTAAATATTGGGATAATTATCCCCTCATTCCATTCATTCGGTAATTTTTCGGTTTGGATAATCCTGATAAATAACTTTTGAAGTGATAAAGTCATGAAATCACCTCCATGTTTTAACATTTCATTTGTTATAGAATCAGTACCAGGACTTTTATTATTTTTAGCCTTTGATATAGCATAAGCGACATCCTCAAATGAAATACTTATATCATCTAGAACATGATCACAACCTTGATGTTGACTGTTAATGTTAATGTTGGGAGAGTGGAGTTTATCGTTACTATTATTTGCGTTAACATTTGCAATATTACCGAAATGCAATTTTAATGAATTTTTCATATCATCTTTGCCTGATGTATATGTTATCGTTCCAGGTATTAGAATCGAATCAACATTTTGTTTACATCTACTGCCTTTAAGTTCATTCCAGAATTCTT